CTTGCTGGACTCGGCCTTCGCTGCATCATCTTTTGATGCCTTTCCCCCAAGTGGCACAAGCGCCACAACAGGCTCTTCCTCCTCCAACGCAACGTCCATCGCCTCTTCTTCAGCAGCCGCCAGGATCTGTTGATTATATATTTCCGAACACTGGCGGTACGTTCTTTCCCATGAGGCAAAGTCGGCACTGGGGAACAGTCGTTCCCAGGTCATGCGTTGGATTTGGGCGGAGTCTTCCACCATCTCCCGGACGAGCTCTTGTTTTTCTTGCTCGGCCTTGTCCGAGAGCTCTTGGGTAAGACTCTTCTCCTGGTTCACCAGGCGTTCTTTTACGTTAGCCAAAGATTTCTCCATGGCTTCGTAAGAGTGCATTTTCTGGCGAAGGGGTTTCAGCTCGGCTTTAAATTTGGTGACGGTCCCCTCCAGCTCGTCAACCTTCTTTTGGGCCGCCTCTAGCTGAGCCCGAACAGCGGCGGTCGCCTGCGCCTGATAATAAAGAAGATCAATGGTCAGTACTTCATTTTGGGCAATTTGAAACATTGCTTTATCACAGCTGGAGGCGGCCATAGCCTTTGCGGCCTTTACCTCTTTGTTTTTCCGATCAATCGGCTTGCGAAGGCTGTTGACTCGGAGCAGGGCCTAAGTACAAAGAAAAACAGGCGTCAGTTTCCAATCATAAGGGTTAACAGGCGTCCTGGAACTTCAAAAGGGTATACCTCAGCTAGGATCCCCGAAATTCCATCGAGGTCAAGGGTGCCGGCACCCTTGACCGCCTCCCTGTCAGAGGGAGGAACTACTTTAACCATTGACTTGGCTACCTCAACCAAGTCAAGTCCCTGGGGGCCGGCTGCATTAAGCAGAAGGAAAAACAAGTTAGACCTAATCAAGAAGGAAGCAAGAGTGAGTTTTTACAAGCAAGTGTCCATACATCTAGGCGGCCCCGCCTGGGTTTTTGAAGAAGTGGCCGGCTGCTTCTCAGCCGCCACTGTTTTCCTGGAAGACCCAGGAGAGCTTGCAACAGTCGTTCTCCGGGCCTTGGGGTCCGGCTGTTGCGAGGAAGAAGCCCTTGGAGTGCCAGACTGAAAACAAAAAGAGTTAGTATATGCATAATACAACTTAAAGGGGAAGAGTTTTCAAAGCTTACCAAGGGTGCCTCCTTGCTGGGGGAGTCGGCGTACGACTGCTTCATTAGCGAAACCCGCAGCATGGCCGCCGCAGTCTTAGATGCTGTTATTTTACTCATGGCGTCGGCTGAAAGAAATAAACAGCAAAGTTAGTAAAAATCCCAAGTAAACAAGGCGTGAAAAAACAGAGTATTCGTCAGGCCGGCTACCTCTAGAGCACCGACTGCCGAGGCCACAGGCGGCCAAGAAGTACTCATCATAGAGCCACTTGAAGCTCGGGACGCAGTGTAGGGGTACTTGCTCTCGTACCCCTGAAGTAGAGTTCGCCCTAGTCTCTACTTTGAAGAGTCCTTTGTCTAGGATCTCTCTTTTAGCCTTTGGGGGAACAGGCGGCATGCTGCGGCCGCCTGCAAGAAGAGGCGGATCCCTGTTCCACTTGTTAAAACGTTTGTTCAGCTCCGTGTCTGAACTCTCGATAATAAGGAAGGTGTTCCGCCAATCCTTCCATTTGTTTGCCTTACCTCTCGTCATGAGGTAACCCCTGTGGCTTGTTAGTTGATACCAGCCGGTACCTCCCGACTTAGGGGTCCGGCTGAGATAGTTCATCTGGGCGAAAGCCTCAAAACTTGGCTCCACCCCGTTCAGTTCGCACCCGGCCACATAGCCGAGTACGTTTACCCAAGAGTTGGGGGCTAACTGCCATAACCCCAGATCATACCCATCTAAAATCCGCTGAACAGCCGGATGTAATGGGAAGCGCAGACCAGCTTTGATGGCCGCCACATAGCAGCCAAAACAGCCGTCACCATAGCTGGTACCAGCCGGCCAGACGACAGTATCTTCTGGATCCGGCACAAACAGTAAATACTCCGGGCTCATTTTGTGGTTAGCAATAAAGCTCGCCACGTTGTCTCGCATGGTTGCGATCCGGCCCCGGGGCACCCTGCAGTAGTAGGGGGTGTTTTCCTCTCTGTAAGAGGCGGACGGCTCTGCCCAATTATCCCCCTTCTCCACTGCATGGGAACTTCTCGCCTCTTGTAGGCGGTTATGTTTTTCTTCTGAGTCAGAAGAACTATGGTCAGAAGAACTATGGTCAGAAGAGCTGGAATCGGACTCGTCCCCTGACGAGTCCGAAGAGGACGACTCCTCCCCTCTCCTAGAGGGGCCCGCCTCCTCTCCCTTAGAAGGAGCAGAAGGTAAATTAGACATGTCCACGGTTAGATGAGAAGGGAACACCTTGGTCCCTCTCTCAGAACTGTCAGCTTGACAGTCGCCTCGTTCCACATCTGGCGCCTGGTCAGATGTTTCGCTAAGGAGTACCCTTTGGGAGGAGCCGTCTGAGTTTGATATTCTAGCAGTCTTTTTTGTTCTGGCCATCACGTTCTGCATAGACACAGATTCAGTCGGACTTTGTATAAAGGGCAAAGATGGGTCCAGAAAAGGGCAGGCGGCACTCCTAGTCCTAGATTCAGCCGTCCCCGGTGACCGGCTGATCACTAACTTAGGGCGTGTCGTGTGCTTCCATGGTGCCATTTCAAAAAATAAAAAGAAAATTAAGAGTAAGAGAACTGAGTTACCTGAACGGATGACAGTTGATGAAGTCCTGAAAGTTCGGGTCAGTCGGCTTGTCAGAACAGGCGGTAGGCAGAAAAAGTCCGAAAATGTCAGAGCAAGTTCAGGGGTCCGAATGTTCTCGCAAAAATTCTCAAATGTGAAAATGACCGAAGTCAGCACTTCCTTTTATAGGCAAAATGAGAAGGCGAAGGGTCGCTTCCGAATTCAAATTTGGGCGGGAGAGTCTCCCGGCCGTCTGCAAGGTGACACCTGTAACGGGCCGTCGCCTGTCACCGTGCGACGCCTGTCACAGGCGACACGTGACCAGTCGCGTGCCACCTGTGAGGGGCAAATGATTAGGGGATTTTTACCCACCAAGCGCCGTTTGACAAGTGGACCAACCAGGTTCCGCCACGCGTCCTCCACGGACCACTTAAGACACGCCACGTGTCCACCCATGCCAAATGGGACAACCGGCCATCAAGGCCCATTTCAGTCTAGAAGCCCGATCGGCCCTAGGTTTACCTTAAACCTAGAGAGTTGCACGCTTCCCAAGGCTATAAATACTCGATTAATCCTCATTAATCGAGGGACCGAATAATTTACGGAACACACTAATAACCGGCTGATCTCGCTAGCAAAGCAGATTACCTACATTAAATACTCTCACCTAGAGAGACCTTATTACTTTAATTTCTGTATTAATTACTCCTTAATCAGGTACTAACTTGACCGTTGGAGGCGGAGCTCTCAGGAGTCTCCGTTATTTTGCAGGTACAGGCGTCCGGTTCCAGTCTCGGAATTGTAACTCTCCCGCAGGACATCAGAAAACCCCAAAACAACATGCTTTATATCTTTTCGCGCGGTTGCAGTTCGGGTTCAATTTCAGTCAATTTTGGGTTGGGTAATGTTTTGGGTTCAATTTGTGTCAAGTCGGGTTAAAACAAGTTTAAAGCAAGAAAACTTCGGTCAAATGAACATCAAATCGGGTCATTCTTATACTCGTGTCAAATTATAGTCAAGTTGGGTAAAGAAAAGTTTTGAAAGATTAAAGCACAATCAAGCCATGTCATTCTTAGGCTCGCCCGGTAAAGGTGTCAATTCGAGTGATCAAGGCGGATTCAAAGAGGTGAGGTCAAGTCGGTTCAGGTCGGGTCTAATTTCAAACTTAAGTCATGCTAAATTATTTGATCCATGCAAGTCAAAATCTAAATCGGATATTTTGTTGGGTCGATTTTAGATCGGGTCAGCAGGGCTATGTTTTGACACCTCTAGGCTCGTGTCAAATATGAATCGAGATAAGTAATAGGTTATTATGTTTGGTGTTTATTATGTAAAATATAATTAAGTTGAGTGTTATTTAAGGTTTAGATCATTGTAAGATCGGGTCAAATTGGTTATCGATCAATATCCATTCAGGTTGGTAACAAGTTATAATCGATTTCAAGTTCTAAACAAGTCGAGTACTAATTGTGACAGGCTATAATTGATTTCAAGTTATTATTGTGACAAGTTATAATCGATTTCAAGGTATAATTGTGATAGGTTATAATCGATTTCAAGTTCTTAACAAGTCGAATACTAATCGAGTTTGGATCATAATCAAGTCAAATCAAATTGGTTTTTGGTTAATATCAAGTTAATTATAGGTTCAGATTCGGGTTCAGGTCATAAAGTATCAGGTCTATTCGGTTATCAATTAATGTCAGATCTGTTTCGGTTCAAGTTACATGTCACTGTTTTCACCTATTCTTTGGGTACGGATCGGATACAGATCATTTTCGGCTCAGGTCGATTTTTCAAGTCGGGTCAGATTTTGACAACTCTCGTATTAGCCACGAACGGGGAACTAATCTAATGGATGGTGTACAATACATGTATTTGTTATTCTGTCCTAGGAATTAAGAAATATGGATGTTTTGCGATTGGCACGTTATTTATTCAAATATGAAGATAATATACGCTGCAATAAAATATCAAAGAAATCGATCTTAATATTTGATTAACAATTTTACACTCAAATCATTATTAAATTTGAATAATAATTACAGTACATTTAGTTTTTTAATTCTTGAGATTGCAATATAATTAGTAAGGCCTTGTTCACTTCACCTTAAATAAATAATATTCAATAAAAGTAAGTTCATTCAATTTAGTAAAAATAATTCAGCTCATTTAAAATAAGTGAAGTTCAGTAAAAATCAGTAAATTCAAAGAAGAAATAATAGAAAATCAGTAAAAATAATTTCGTTTCAGCAAAAAAAAAAAAAAAATCAATTCAGCAAAAATAAGGTGAAGTTAATAGGACATAAATATATGTACCTGTTTCACGCCATCTCTTGCTGCAAGAGCCACAATATCAGCACAAGAGACTATTCCTGGACATTCATCCTCTAGGGCTTTCTTGATTATATTTATATATTTGAAGTTTCTCATCCCAAAATTCCTCGACGAAGATTTTTCAGAGTGTATACCTTGTGCTCGATCCTCGTCCAATAAGATTGATGCATCACACGACTACATGAACAATTTGATTGATTCACATAAAATCATTTAGCTACTAACATTAATAAGTAATTTAAATAAATTGAATAAAATGATTAAAATCCATATATGTCAAAGAAAATTTTATACCTTAACCATGCAATCATGAAATAAGTTTCTGATCCATGAAATGGCTGTATTTCCATGCTTATGGTATAGTTTGCTCACCTCTTCTTTGACTATAGCTTCAGCATTTGGACATGTTTCGGAGTAATAGTTAAGCTCTAGTTGACTTGATCCTGATCATTTTTTTTTTAATATTTTTACATCATAATTTTCTTGGTGCACATCAAGTAAAATAAAAGGAAATTCACTATTTATATTAATTTGCCATAATGATCGATAAAGATATGGACAAAATAATATATAAGCTGAAAACGCTGTTAAAGTAAAATAATGGACAAAAGGAAATTCACTATTTATATTACCTACCCCGTACCCTTTGGCTTCATTTATGGACAAAATAATATATACGGAAGGTTTCCAATAAAATTTCTTACCTTAATTATATGACTTATATAAGCTGACCTGATATTAATAAATACTTATGTCAAGGAAATATACAACTAACTAACTTAGGCCCCATGCCATGCATGATAACAGTGTATTTGGATAGAAATTTAGGAAGGAAGGGGAGGGTGGAGAAAAGAAGGGAAGGGGAAGAAAGGGGAGGGAAGGGAGAAAAAAAATCAGTTCCCCTTGTTTGGACGGGGGAGATGAGGAAGGAAAGGGAAGGTAAAAAAATCAGATTTGCAGGTTATTTACAAATTTATAGTTATAAGTATGCTCAAATATTTGATAATAATGCAAAACCCAGCAAAAATTCAATCAACAAGTCAATGCAAATATACCGATTGAAACATCAAATTGAACAAAAAGAAGAGGATAATGATCAATCGAAAAGCGAAATTCCATCGAAATTGAACTAGAAATCCCAATAGATACGTTTTGAATTAGAAAATCTAACAAAGTAGAAAATACATTATATAAACCCTAGTTTCAAATTGGGAAAAAGTTAATTGGGGGTTTCCATGAAAGATAGAGAAACAGAGGAGGGGAAAAAAAATTATGATAAGAGGGTTGAAAGAGGAGAGGAGAAAGAAAATCAATGGGCTAAAGTAATGGTAAAATAGTCTTTTCAGGTTATTCAGACTTTTAAACTCAATTTCCTTCCAAATCTCTTCAAAATTTGAGAGATTTGATTCTCAAACACTAAAACAAAAAATTTCCTTCCATTGCCCTCCCCTCCATTTCCCTCACCTTCACAAACTGGTATCCAAACAGTGGAAATTGCCCCCTTCTCTTTCCCTTCTCTTCCTTTCTCCCTTTCCATCCATCCAAACAAGCTGTAAGTCTAATTATTTATATCTAACAAAAAAGGAATGCTTTAAAGTAAATTTTTTTACATCTATAATATGAATCAATTTTATCATGGAGTATTACTTTTTTAGCAAAATCTAATATTACTCTATTTATTAGATAAGGAGTTAGAATAATATTTTGGTTAAAAGAATAATAAGGAGTTAAAATCACACCCTCGATTTGGAATGATATTATTATAACTGTAACAAATATTAAAAAAAATGGTTAAAAAGGAAAGAAGTGTTTTGGAGGGAAAAAACAGCACCAAGATGTGACACGTGTCACTTCCGGTGTCTGTTTTAGTATTAAGTTACTAGTAAGTAGCCCGAGCGTTGCCCTGAGTTACTACTTTTGTAATCGTTCAATTGAGATATATTTTAAAAAGAATTTTGAAATCTGAAATCAACATTATTGAATGTGTTTTTTTTTTTTTTTAAGAATTAAATCATGTGGTTTACACTTATGTACATTTCTTTTTCATATTTATAACATGCTTGATAATGGGCTAAGATGGTTGAATAGCCAACTTTCATATAAGTGGTTGGGTGTTCAAATTCCCTTAACCTTATATTTTTATATATATGAAGTAATGTGAGTTGCTTGGGTGACGTGGCGTAATGATTAAGGTAAATTTAGTGATGATGTGGCATAAAGAGATGTTGGGTAGGTGATGTGGCGTCATGAAGTGTTTGGGAAGTGACGTGGTGTAATTTAAAGACGTTTTTATTTGGCGTAATTTTCAATAACTACTCTATAATTATTAACATTATATTTAATTATAAAAAAAAAGCTATTTAAGTTACTATTTTGTAAAATGAATTAATTATGAGAGAGTCTATTATTAGCAAAATAGATAATTTAAAATACACATATATGTATATTTATATATATTTCACTAACTAATTTATATCATTTCTTCTTTTAACCAAATGAATATCTTACAACTATGTATCTAATTCATAGATAGATTTACTTTTTACACACTATTAATCCATTCCCTCTTACGCGGTATTTATTTTTCTTCTCAATAATCAACTGGCTTAGAAAAAAAATCATATATTTCCTAGCAAGCTTTTCAAACATAATTAAATACACAAATATTTTAAAAAAATAATCCTTGTTGTAAAAATGGTAAGAGTAGTATATAGCACTATGTATGTCACAAATTATGTTAAGAATTTGATATTCATTTTTTTAACTTTAGCTTATGGTATCAATATATATAGTGCAAGGATACATTAAATCTTTTTAATCTTCTATTTATATATAAGATTTGTTTCCTAAATAGGTTTTTTTTTTTTTTTTTGGACACACCAGAAAATGACACGTGTCATTGTTGGTGTGTCTTTTAGTATATAGTTATTGATTGATTGATTATTAATTGATTGATGTCATCATCATTTAATATTAAGGGAAAGGAGGTAATATATATAAAGGACATGATCTTACATTAAATATATATTGTGTAAATTTAAGAATAAATGTCTTATTTTCTGTCAAAGATACACCTAAATGCATGAATTATTTTGTTAAAGGACTATTTAAAGTCCGAGATCAGTTTATATAGTTTATTAGTTTTCTATTTTAAAAATCATATGTCTGTGTGTGTGTTTTTTTAAAAAAAAAAAAAAATACTTACCACTAACTTTGGCAGGACTTAGAATACTAAGTTAATTGTAATTTGTTTTATTAACTAGTTGTTGGCTGATGATGTCCCGGGTCTTTACGATACAATATTACTATCATCATTAAGTACTTAATGTTAAATGGGTCGGAAAAAGAGTAGATTGATACTATCAAACTCTAAAGAAATACTTCGTATATGATTTGTTAAAAAATAAAGCTATAAGAAATAACCTATAGTATGTAAGTGATGTAACGAATAATAAAGTATGAATGCATTTAAGTTAATTATTGCTAAATAGTAAGGTAATTATTATTTGGATGATTGTATACACATAATAATAATAATAATAATAATAATAATAATAATAATAATAATATTGAATTCTCTCGGTTTGGATGATTAGGGTTGGGTAGGTTTAGGCTTTTCCATCATCTTTCACGTCATTTTTCCGGTTACTCCTCCGGCGAAGTGTAGTCCAGTTTGGTGACCGTCGATTTTAGGGGTTTCAGAGCGGTTAGCAGGCAATATCTAGGCGAAATTCCTTTGAAATTCAACGAGTTTTATTGGCTGTTTCTGGGCGTATTTCGAGCAGGTTCGACGACCTTTTTAGGTGAATTTTCCGGCGTTTTATAGACCCAAGCGTGGGTCAGGTTGCGGGAGGTTTCATGATCGATTTTCCGGCGAATATTCAGGCTGTTTTTTGGGTGCAGTTTCAAGGCGTGTTTTGGTGCAGTTTCAGGGAGTGTTTGGGTGGTTTTCCGGCAGCGGTTTTTTTAAGGCAGATAGGCTTCGTTTCTGGGTTGTTTTCAGGTGTATTGTGGTAGTGTTTGGCGCTGTTGTGGGCGAGTTTCAGGCAGTTTTCAGCTCAAGGTTCAAGCGGTTTTCTCTTTGTTTTTCAAGCAGTTTCCTGCTCGAGTTTGGGTGCAGTTTGTTGGTCCGTTTGGGTGTGATTTTGGTGCAGTTCCTGGTGTGGTTTCGGAACAGTTTCGTGTGCAATTTCTGGTGCAGTTTTGGTGTATATAAGGTGTAGTTTTTGGTGCTTTTGAGTTTGGTTTTAGTGTGTCGTTGGTGTGCTATTTTGGTGCAGTTTTTGGTGTGTTGTTTTGTGTTCTTCTCGTGGCAAGTTGTGGTGGGTGTTATGCCTCCTATGGTTCGATTTCATTGTCCGTTTGTGGGTCTTAATGGGTGTTAGGATGGTGGGGGTAATGGCTCACTAAAGCTTATTTGCTCACTCATCTTCGTGATCATCATTGTTGTGGGGATGCGCGAGATATGACTCGGCACTCTCTTTCTTCTGATTTCGCTATTTTCTTAGAGGCAGAATCAACATTTCGTCGTATGGGCATTTGGTTTTATGGGGAGTGTTTTAAGACACATACTTTTAGTACGAAGTGTCGACATGGTCCTGGTTCTGATGATATTGTGGCCCCACTTGATTATGCGGATGGTATTGTTCGGTTTGTTCTTTATGGTTTTCCTAAACCGCAGGGTCCATTTTGGGGGTATCTGATCTTGTTCCTAGAGTGCATCGTGAGCCTCTTTTTGCGTTCGATGTTACTCTCTTGGATAGTTTTCTATCTAAGCGGTTTCGTTCGGTGAAATCTATTCCTTCTAAGTGTCGCTTGGGTTTTTCTCGGGTTTTCAAAGGAGCGTTTGACAAGGTGATTTGCAAGCCTGATGACGTCTCTTGTTGGGTTCAACTGCTTGTGTTGCCTCTCTGTGTTCTAAAAACCTTTTCTCCAAGGAGTAGTCGTGAGTGTTCTTCGGGTGTTAGGCGGCAGCAGCAGGAAGAGAGTATCACCGCTACTATTCGATCTTAGTGTGAGCCTGGTGGTCCAGTGCATCTTGTGCGGGATACGTTGGCTGATGTGTCTCCACCTTTGTTGGATGCTGATGATGAGCATGATTTGTCTGAGCGTAATATTAAGCAATGTAAGAGAAAGATTAGTGACGGACATTACACTGCTGCGGTTAGGGTTCTTTCGTCTGCTGGTCTTGCCCCTTACAATGATGCTACTCTTGCTGATTTGCAAGCTAAGCACCCTTCCTTTTCGGCTCCTATCTTACCAGATATCCCCGTTGATTAGCCCCTTATTGCTACACCTGCTGTTGTTTTGGATTAGATTAAGGGTTTTCCGCGTGGTACGTCATGCGGTAGAGACGGCTTGCGTGCTCAACACCTTATGGATTGCTTGGGTGGTGCTTTAGTTGCTATTTCGGATGAGTTGGTAGACTCTATTACGCAGATGGTTAATCTCTTTCTCGCTGGGAAATGTCCTGCTGTGTTTGGAGAATACATCGCCAGTGCTCCTCTTAGGCCACTTGTTAAGCCTGGTGGTGGTATTCAGCCTATTGTTGTGGGTACCGTTTGGAGGCGTCTGGTTTCAAAGGTTAGGGCTGCTTTAATTGGTCCTCGTCTGGAAAAATATTTAGGAGGTCTTCAGTTTGGTGTTGGTGTGCTGGCGGGTGGTGAGGCTATTCTTCATGCTGTTAATCGTTTGGTTGAGGCTTGTGGTAGTGATGTTGGCCTCTCTATGTTGTTGGTGGATTTCCATAATGCCTTTAATTTGGTTGATCGTACGGCTTTACTGCATGAGGTCCGTCTCCGTTGTCCTGCTCTCTCGCGTTGGGTTAAATTCTGTTACTCTTTTCCAGCCAGACTGTTTTATGGGGAGCATACCTTTAGGTCTTGTCAAGGAGTGCAACAAGGTGATCCTCTTGGCCCTTTGCTTTTTGCTTTAGTGCTCCATCCGTTGGTGTGCCGAATCAGGGTTTCTTTCGACTTATGTTTGTAGGCTTGGTATTTGGATGACGACACTATTATTGGTGACACCTTGGTGATAGGAAAGGTTATGGAGTTGATTTTGGTGGAGGGACCTCGTCTCGGCCTCCATGTGAACGTTGAGAAAACGGAAGTTTTCTGGCGCACGAAGGACCCTCGTAGCCGTCTGGTCGGTGTCTTTCCTCTAGATATTGCTCGTCCTGTACATGGTGTTAAGTTGCTTGGTGGTCCTGTCAGTACGGATTCCTCTTTCTGTGGTGAGCTTGTTTCGCAGAGAGTGTCGAAGACCATTGTGCTAATGGATGCTGTTGCTAAGCTTGATGATCCCCAATGTGAGTTGTTACTAATTCGTGCGTGTACTGGGGTTTCAAAACTCTACTTTTCTATGCCACTTGTCCTCCTCGTCTTTTTGAAGCGGCCCAGATTTCTTTTGATTCGGGGCTAGGTTTTGGTGATTGGCAATGGCGACTTACCACCTTACCTTTTTCTTATGGTGGATTGGGTGTCTATTCAGCGGGAGATGTTCGGCACTATGCTTTCCTTGCGTCACGTTTGCGTCTTCTAGTCTTTAGGCTACGCTTCTTCGCAATTCTGGTATTGTTGGTCCAGGATTGGCATTCGATGGTGCTCTTAGTCTTTTTAATAGGACTGTAGAGACTGACCATATGCGTAACCCTAGTGAGATCGCTGCCCCCAAACTCATGAAGAAATTGGCAGATATATATTTCACGAAGGTCATTGCATCTATAGAATCCACTTTCTCCTTATCTCCGCATCAGGTTGCCTTTTGGAAGTCCCAGCAGGGGGATCACACTTCTGCCTAGTTGCGAGCGGTCCCAATATCAGGTTTGGTTCAGACTATGAATGGTAAGACTTACCGTTGTGTTCTTTGATATCGGTTGGGTGTTCCCTGGTTCTCCGTTTCGACACCGTGTTCTGCTTGCTCAAGGGTTTTTGATGGAGATATATATGGGGATCATGTAGTGTCTTGTGCTGGGATGGTTGGTATTTAAAAACATCAGCACAACGTTGTTCGTGATACCCTTGTTGATATTTGTTTCGCTCTGGGATTTCTGCAAGAAAGGAGGTTAACGTTGGGTTGACTGGAGGGAACGACGGGGCTCTTCAACCAGCAGATGTGTTGCTTTATTCCTGGATAGAGGCCTTGATGTATGTGTTGACTTGACGGGGTCTTCTCCTTTGACACAATCTGGGTTGTCTGACTTCATTCCTGGTCGTGTTGTGTCGACTGCGGCTCAGCGAAAGCGAGACAAGTATGAGGCACGTTGTAAGGCTATTGGTTATGATTTTCTTCCTTTCTCCTTTTCTTCAGTGGGGGAATTAGAGAAGGATGTTGTTGCGTTGCTGAAGCGGGTTCAGGCGTACGCTAAGACTTAGGATATTGGTGCTCATGCAGCTGCTCACATCTTCAACAGGATTGGGTTCGCTATAGCTAGAGGGGTGGGGGCCCAGATTATATCTCGACTCCCCACTAATTTCTTGTAAATTGTTTGACTATGTAGGTTTTTGTTAATAATAATATAATAATAATAATAATAATAGAGTTTAGAAGGTATCCTACTATTTCTTTTTTTTAGGCATACAAAGTATGTTACTAACGTTCATTACTTGTGTATGTTATAAACGTACTAGTCCTAAGAAGAAAAGGTTTAAGTTCAAAGTTGAATTTTTTTTAATTACTCCAACCTATGATGTCTACTTCACCTTGAATGATTTTCAAAACGTACCTTTAACCATCAATATCTGTAAGTTGCATATTAACCAAAGTAATAAAAAATTAGTTTTATAATAAAACTAATTATTAAAACGAATCCACCTACATCTCACAGGACTAAATTTCTTGTATACATTGAAAAGAATGTCACCAAACTTTATAAACTTTACCCAACGGACAATATATTATGAGCCAAAAAGATTATTTAATGTTTTAAAAAAATTATTAAATTTTTCATTTGTGGCACTAAGTTTGACTTGGAATTCGTCGGACACATATGGATAATGATTTATACAAGAATAGACCGAAATAAAATTTAATCTAAACACACACATTATTGACCATAAACTTGATTCAGATCAAAACCTTTTATGCACACGTAAATGCACATTAAGGTAGGTGCATCCAAGGATGATTTTTTGCTCTTTTTAAAATTTTGAAATCAGCAAAAATATGTTAAATGGTCAGAAAATACTCCTGGTGCAAGAGGGTGTGTAATTTTTTTACAACTTATAAAACATAAATTTGATAATTTATCGAAAATCACAAAGTATCAAAATAAAATTGAATGAAAAACTAACTTGACCCAAATCAAAATTACACGATCTAAATCCAATCTAAATAATATCTTTACTGAGAAAAAAGGCTAAAGAAAGGTACCATGATAAAATTGATGTTGTAGTAGCAACAGGAGAAACAAGCAAAAGCAGTAGATATTATAAAAAGACATCATATGTTCAGGCTCTCTTTTGTGTCCTCACTGTTTTTTACATGCTTTCTTAAAGTTGGTGTTTAATTTGCTTGCTTTAATTTACATTAGAAGTGTTGACATATATATAGGCAAAAATTGCTTTAAAAAATTTACATGGTTAATATTATTTTACTGTTATTTTCAAAAGTAGCAAGACTAGTAGTGATTGGAGTTAATGTAGCACTAATATTTTTAGTTAATGTAGCACTACTTTTTTTTGTGGGATAATTATTTCATTGACTATCACATGCATGTATCATGAAAACTACTTCCACAACCACAATTACTTCCATGCTAATTGTATCGTGGGTGTTAAAAATCGGCATAATGTTGTTCGGGATACCTTTGTGGATATTTGCTACAGATCTGGTATTTCTGCAAGAAAGGAGGTTGACGTAGGATTGGCTGGAGGAAATGACGAGGTCCTCAGACCTGCCGATGTGTTACTTTACTCATGGGATCGTGGTCGTGATGTATGTGTTGACTTCACAGGTTCTTTCCCTTTGACGCAGTCACGGCTAGCTGACTTTGTCCCTGGACGTGTTGTGGCTGAAGCGGCACATCGAAAGCGGGCTAAGTACGAAGCTCGTTGTCAGGCAAATGGATACGGTTTCATTCCCTTCTCCTTTTCTTCTCTTGGGGAATTAGAAAAGGATGTTGTTACGTTACTGAAGCGGGTTCAGAGGTTCTCGACGGCGCAAGACATTGGGGCTCGTGCGACAGCTTTTATCTTCACTAGGGTAGGCTTTTCTATAGCTATAGGAGTGGGAGCCCAGATTGTATCTCGGCTTCCCACTAATTTATTGTAGGTTGTATGACTTTTTGTTTTTGAGATTATAATAATAATAATAATAATAATAATAATAATAATAATAATAATAATAATAATAATAAGTTTGAGAAAACTAACAACATAAGTCAACACATTTCCATTACCTAATGGTGGGTATAGCAGTGGCGCAACAACTTTGTCTTCAACATCCATATGATTAAAAGAAGCAAGAGAGCTAGAGATTGAGAAAATCGAAGTGTTGGAAGTCCTTACGCGACTTAAATTAAAGATCCTATATGTTACATAAGTAAACTGTTTTTGACTAATTTCGCTATGAACTGCTCGATTTATTTACTAGGGATGTTTACAATTACTCTTTCCCTTTTATAATAACTGGTATTTAGCCCGTGCAATGCATGGGTTAAACTTGTTAGTTTGATGTTATCAGAAACAACATATGTCATATACGAAATACCACTTTGTCAACACTAAACATAGTGCAAAATAAAAAGTGCCCCTACTCAATTACCCATCTCCCTTTCTCCATAATTAATCAAATAAACCTCCATACATCAGACAAATTAAAAATTAGACAATGTCATACATTATTATAAAATATTTAAAATTGGGGAAAAGAAAGGCAAGAAAAATAGAATTCGAACTTAATTCGTACCAATTAAAAAAAGCATAAATCGTTGTTGGGAAAAATTCAATCAAAAACAGTAATCAATTAATCAACTTATTAAACCATATATTTACTAATCAACAAAAGCCTAAATATTAAAGCAAAATTAACTTCAAAATTTCTAGGAAAATAGGGGCAAACCTGCAAGTTTCAATGAAGCAAGGACCTTTTAAAAGAAACAACTTTGTACTAGCATCTATTTCACAATTGCCCTAAACCTGAAAGAAGCATTTTAGTCTAGAAATTGGAAAATTATATCAAGTACATATTAGATATTGTATGCGCTATGAAAATTTATTTAAAATTAATGAAAAAAGTAGACGTAGGGGAATACGGGGCCTATTATATCTTCATTGATGTGCATGATACTACACTAATGCCCATTCAATTTATTTATAAATCTTGGATGAAGAAACTAAGGGTGAATCTATTAATAAATAAATAAATAAATAAATAAGGGTGAATCAAACGTTGTTTGCACATTTAGGATGGTGAAATCGAAGGGAAGCGTTTGTTTGGAAGGATAAGCTTCCGAATGGGTAAATTAAAGACTGAATAAGGTTTTTTTTTAAAAAATAAATAAATAAAGAAAAGGAAAATCAAAAAGGTGATGTGGCACTCTATATGTCTTTTAAGTTTTCCTGTTATTATATTAGTATAGATTGCAATATTAGGAAGGAGAAAAAGTTTTAGGAAAGTTATATAGGGTAACTGGATAAGGATTAAAGTAGGTATATTATAATGTTAAATTATATTTAGTGAGATGTATTAAATTGATTGTAGGAGAGAGAAATAGTAAATAAAAAATAAAAGTATTGTAAGTGGGGTGGTTACAAGAATGAAATAATAATCAAATAGTATTGGGTCCTTACCAAATAAGTTAGTATTACAATCGTTACAAAATGGATGAAAAAGGAAAGTATTGAGACTATTACGAAAAATAGGGAGTAAATTATTAGGGGTCATTTGAAGAAAATAGAATCTGTTTCGGAGTAAATTACAATTCCAAGACTGGATTTCGGGCACCAATACCTACAAAACAACGGAGACTCCGGTGGGTGGGAGCTCTGCCTCCGACGATCAGGTTAGAACGTGCTCAGATGTATAAAATGCGGAATGTAAATGGGATCAGGTTCCTCTTGGAAGAGAAGTGATCATCCGGCTATAGAGAACAACCTCAATATCTGAATGTGAACTCTCAAGTGTATTCAATTATGCAATTAATGCTCTCTGAATATTTGTGAATGAATGAATGTCGTTCCCGAGGTGGGAACATCTCCCTTTTATAGGGTCACGAAGTACGTGCTGTTTGGGGTTAAAAAAAAGCCCCCTATGCAACGTGGCCCAATATCGCGCTGACACGTGGCAGCCCTTCAAAGGCCCAATGGGATCCAATCAAATGCTGACACGTGGCATAGTAACCCTACTGGGGGAGCATTTCTTCATCTGCTATAAATAGAGGAAACTCCTCACTTATTATACATTCAGAAATATACCAACACAAAAACCAAGCAATATTAACTGCGAAATCTCTGAATCAGAGAGAAAAGCCCATTTACTTTCCGCACTTTTCTACATCCGGAGACATACTAACTTGATCGTCGGAGGCGAAGCTCCACCCAACTGGAGTTTCGTGGTTTTGCAAGTACAGACGGTCGAAGTGCATTCCTAGAATTGTAACTCTCCTGAGGGACTAAAAAAACCCCCGAAACATTTGGCGCCGTTTGTGGGGAGAGTACTTTTGAGATGGCATCTGACATTGTACCGCCTGGTAAGGACAGACGGCCTTCGGTCGAGCCTGAGGTCCATACGGACCAGGATAGTGGTGACGACTATGAGATCGACGACTATGAGGTCGACACCTATGTGGCCCCAGACGGGTCACTTCGATCAAGGCGCACCCGTTCCAAAGAAACAAGGGAACGAGGCAAAGACAAAGCTGGTCCCAACAACCCAGCCGACATGCCTGCTTGGCTACCCTAGGCGGCGGAGGGCACAGCCCCCGTCACTAGAGACGAGCTCATGAAATTCATGACCAGTTTCAAGAGGGAAATCAAGGACATCATCAAAAAGTCAACTGGCTCAAACAAGGGTTAGTTGGCAAAGAAGCCTTCTCCCTCCGGAAAGAAGCAACTCAAAGACCGGGTGCCTACCCCTCACCTTAAACCAAAGGGGGCGGATGGGCCCCTGGTCGACCTCTCCAAACTTCGTTTCCCCGAATCAGGGCAAAGGAAGGTCATCCGGCAAGTTTAGTCGGATGGGTAAAAAAATACTTACTCTAACGCCCGGATGTTCATCCAGGAGAAGAGAAGTCAACACATGTCTGAGTCGACCTCAACGTCGACTTACCCAGACAGTTTCCGTAATACTTTAATGAAGCATTCGGAGACACATCAAGGGAGTTAGTCACGCGGCATGTCCGCATGTACTGACCCTCACATCATCCAACCGGTTCTGTATGTGCCCCAACAACCATACATGCCGTATGGATCACCATACATGCAGCCAGCTCTCTTCGGGAGTCCGGCGGCACAGCAGGTCCAACCTATGGACTGGCAGCTCTGGCTGCTCAACCTTGGGGAACAGCCTTCGGCTTTCTCCTGGGAAATAACCGAGGCGGCTCAGCCGGCCAAGGTTAAGAATGTGTTGGTCGGTACCTACGACGGTACCACCAACCCGGAAGACCACCTAATGGCTTACACTAACCTCATGTACCTACAGGGGTTGGAAGACGCCGCCAGGTGTAGATGCTTCCCGGCCACATTGAAGGGCATAGCCCAACGATGGTTTGGCAACCTGCCAGCCGGGTGCATCAACAACTTTAAGACGCTTGCATACCTGTTCGCATCCAACTTCTCCATGAACATCCCTGCCAAAAAGACGAGTCTCGACCTAGGGGCTATTCAGCAGGGAGACAAGGAGGGACTACGGTCCTATGTCAGGAGGTTCAATCTGATGAGAATTCAGATTCAGGGGCTGTCTGACGAAGTTGCATAAACAGACTTCTTCAAGGGTTTGAAGGTTGGGTCGACTTTCAAGTTCGACCTGGTCTATAAGAGGGTTGCCACCCTCCAAGAGGCGCTGATGGAAGCCGAAGCCTACATACAGGCGACGGAGCTCTGTGCCATCAAGCACTCGTCGGAGCCTAGGCGGTCCGACAAGAGAAAGAGCCGGCCTGCCCATCTGGCCAAAAAAGAAGAGGGCAAGAAAAGAAAAGAATTATGGGCGGCGAATCACTCTGGTCAGCCGTCCCAGAAGAAACAGAGAAAGTTAGAGCCGTACGTCCCCAAGTACGAGTTCAACAAGGACTGCTCCTCCATCTTCATGGAGATCAAAGACCGGTTAACTCTTGAAAAGCCGGCTGCAATGAAGAGTTCTATTAAGAACCGTGACAGGAGAAAATACTATCACTTCCATGAGGATGTCGACCACGACACTAATGATTGCTATAGCCTCAGGCGGCTATTGGACCGTCACGCTGATGAGGGGGCTTTGACATCCTACCTGGTGAAGTCCAAGGGTAACCCCAAAACCAATAACGGACAACTGTCAAAGAAGCCGGCTGTGAGCTCTGACACTGATGAAGAGCACATC